TGAATTACTGCATTTTTTTACTGCAATTTTGAATGGTTTTGGCCAAATTTTACTGGAATTATACTGATTGGTCTTAGACCTTTTGACTCCCTGGGGTTTGATATTTAAGCAACCGGTCTTATAATGGCTTTTTTCAAATTGAAAAGGCAAGATACAGCTGTTAATAATTAATAATATTTATTAAAGGAGTTATACAGATGTGAATTTAATTCGTAATAATTCATCTTTGCTAAATAAACTAAAATTTAGATTATGTGTAATATTTGGATGAAGAATGGAGTTGTAGTAATTTATTTCATCCATTGAAACACTATCAACCACTTAAGTGCACGTTGCAAAATTATTATTAAGTAATTCGGGATTACGTAATTCCTCCGAGGTATTTTGTATCGAGCAATATTAAGTTGTCTTTCCCAGACACAAAAAACGTTTCCTTTTAGAGTAGAAAATGGAATATTACACAACAGTTTGATAAACTCCATGTATTTCACGAGTTTCATTTGGCATTTGGTTTGCATTATCTATAGATATACAGTAAAAAGCTAAAATATGGAACAAACCCATCAGCTATTGCACTTCAAGGTAGATGCCAATACGAAAATTATTTAACATCCATTTTCGAATTGTGTTTCGAAGTTTGTTACGTGTTTAACGCACAATATCCAGAAACATCCGTTACAAGATTCACTTTTTCGACCTCAGATACTGTTTAGTTTATTTAAATTGTAGCTTTTGGAGTATAAATAATCCCATAAAAAAAATTCAATATTTGGGCAGGGATTTTAAGTAACAAAATCGGTCTTTATTTCTTCTATCAAAATCTCACTGGATGCCCGATATTTTCGCAATTTCTTGACTTATAGCAAACTAATGGTATAGGGTACCCGAAATTTGACGCATAATTCAAAAATGGATTTGAAAAACGGTATTTCATTTAAAAAAAGAACCTGGTGTTGGGTACTTTTTGACCCACCCTGCATATTTCTGCAAGAAATATGCAAAAAAATGGGTGGGTACTAGCATTTTGGCCCATATTTTATTATTTGTATTAGAAATGAGTCAGATCAAGAAGTTATGGGTCGCTATTTTATTTTTTTATATGGGACGCCCGGTATATTTTAACTCATTATGATCCAACTTTTCAAGAATATATAGTGGTGCCTAAATTATGCGAAACGTAAGGCTACAATTTAAATTTTTCGGAATGTTATATATTTTAATTAGTTTTCTATTTTTTTTTTTTGCTTATTAAGGTCGAAATCATTTATTTGGAATTTGGTAAACAATATAGATATGATTCTGTGTTTCATAGAGCACAATGAAAGTATTAATACTGCTTCAGAGCTTTCAACAGGTAATACATTTTATTTTAATTATTTTGCACAGTTATTAAAGTCCGGGAAGATGGCAGCTAACAAGATTATATTCCATGGACTTAAGGCTAATTTAATATACTTTGCCCCCTTCAAAAAAGCTCGAAGCCAAAGTTTACAAAAAAAAAAACAAGAGTTTTATGAATTTAAATATATTGTCGATATATATTGTCAATTGTTTTAATAAAACCTTATTAATAACGCAAATTTCGCTTATATGGTCCCGAATCTGATACGAAGTGCTGCTGGAATATCTAATATGCAAAATACTGGATATTAGACACGCTTCTGCAACAAGAAAATAAATAAGAACTAAAAGTGCAGATTTTAACGAAATTTTAAATTTTGACTTGACAATTGTTTCGACAACACCGTGTCTTTATCAAATGTAATATTTACAAACTACCTGCTACTATATATACCGTAAAATGACCATTAAACCTTAATTAATGTTGTTGCGAGAATTTAAGTTCAATAAAAGAGAGGCATTTAAATCTAATTGATCGTTAAGCAATACATTTGAATGTCTCATTTTGTTAATCTCCATGGCTTCCTATAAATTTAATTTTTTGTTTTTTATTTATAATTTTATCTATAATGGACGCATTGTCGCCGTTGTTCAGTGCAATTTGTTTAATGATATTAAGTTCTTTGTTGTAATTTTCTGTTGAGAGGTTAACCTGCTTCCCAGTTATGGTGAAATCTATCAAATCTATCACATCCATGGGTGGAATACTGGGAAATAAGTTTTGTACATCAAAAGACAATGGAGTTGCGTTAGAAGGGATTTTGATATCTTTAATTTTGTTGATTAATTCAAAAGAATTATTTATTGCAAATTTTGGTTTAAAATCTGTGTGGAACTTTAAAATGTTTACTAATTTTGTAGAGAGTTTAACTGCTTTAGCTGTTACATAAGACACGACTGATATAATGGGCAAATCTTGTTTATGTAATTTAACTAAAGAATATAATTTCGGCGGTTGTGGATTCATAATTGCTAAAAAATATTTGTCTTTGTCACAGTGTGGAGTTAGTAATTACTTCCTTGACTTGTCTTTGATATAACTCGCTAGGATCGTGTTTGATACATTGGAAAAGTTCTGGTTTAAGAAAATTGTTGGTTTTTGAAATATATTCTGGGAGATTGATAGCTTTGTTTTTGATAGTTTTTACTAGTGACATTTGAGAAGTTCCTTTGTGTTTTTTTATCTTGATAAATGGAATTTCATCAAGTAAAAGCCTCCTCACTTCAATTTTCAAAAGATGTTGCTCGTTAAAAAGGCAGCGACCTGTTTAATGGTTTCTTAGGATCTATCTGCGCTGGACTTTTTTTATGAGATCATCTGAAGAATTTAATTTTTCGTGCACGGCCAGTACTGGTGAGTAAAGTAAAGTAAAGTCCTTTATGGCAACTTTTTAAAATTACTATCAGATTACCCAAAAGCGCAGCAAATTGGGTTTTTGAGGTTTTTTAAATAACTTGAATGTTGTCGAAGTGTAACCCAATTTCAATTGTTCAACTACATAAGAATAATTGAACGCATGTAAGCAAAGTCTATAAAGTGTAAAATGTAATCGATTCTCATCTCATACAGGGTGACTAAAAATGTATTCTAATTTAAGTGGCTGCAAAATGTACTTTTTAATTATCTGACGGTTGAAGGCATCCTATGGCTAATTATAAAGTTATCTAAATAAATGTTACCTATGGTATTTAGAAATATAAGGTTGTTCGGAAAGTCATTTCGTTTTCTCCCGTCAGAGGACTTAATTACGTTTTTTCGAAACCAACTTCACACTTAAGCCGCATAACCATTATATGTCTTGAGAGCTGATATTGCAAGGCTTGTGTGTGAAAAAGTTCAATTAATTCTACGCATTAGTTTTTGGTTGGTGCCCTTTTAAATATGGAGAGCAATAAGCAGTATTTTCGTCATATTTTACTTTTTTACTTCAGAAAAGGTAAAAATGCTGTCCAAGCGAGAAAAAAATTGACGGATGTGTATGGAGAAGGCGTGTTAACAGTACGCCAGTGCCAGAACTGGTTTGCAAAATTTCGATCCGGCAATTTTGATGTCGAAGATGCACCACGGTCTGGAAGGCCGGTCGAAGCTGACAAAGATGCGATAAAGGCATTAGTTGATGCAAATCGGCGAATAACCACACGAGAGATCGGTGAGAGATTAAATTTGTCGAATTCGACTGTTTATGGCCATTTGAAAGGCATGGGCTTAACCTCGAAGCTCGATGTGTGGGTGCCCCATGTCCTTACGGAGCGAAATTTGTGTCGTCGCGTTGACGTGTGTGATTCGCTCCTCAAACGTCAAGAAAATGATCCATTTTTGAAGCGGATTATTACTGGGGACGAAAAATGGGTTGTATACAACAATGTTAAACGCAAGAGGTCATGGAGCAGAAAAGATGAACCGGGTCAAAGCGTGTCAAAAGCCAACATTCACCAAAAAAGGTGATGCTCTCCGTTTGGTGGGATGTCAAAGGAATCGTTTTTTTTGAGCTTTTGCCGGACAATACAACGATTAATTCAGAAGTCTATTGTCATCAACTGGACAAATTGAATGATTCACTTAAAGAGAAGAGGCCCGAATTAATCAACAAGAAGGGTGTAGTGTTCCACCTTTACAGCTTGAATGGGACGTACTGCAACATCCACCATATTCTCCAGATCTGGCGCCTTCCGACTACTATTTGTTCCGGTCCCTGCAAAATTTTTTGGATGGCAAAACCTTTACCTCAAATGAAGATGTCAAAAACCACCTGAACCAGTTTTTTGCCAGCAAGGACCAAAACTTTTATGAGAGGGGAATTATGTTACTGCCAGAAAGATGGCAAAAGGTGTTGGACCAGAATGGCCAATATATAATTTAATAAAATATTTATTCATTATACGAAAACTGTCTTTCATATTCCCCAAAAAAAAACGAAATGACTTTCCGAACAACCCAATAACATAGATAATCTAATAAGTTGTGAATTTGTTCTGATTTTGCCACAAAGTCAGTTTATTGGATGGTGTGTCTAAATACATTGATCACATTGACTTTATTACGACTTAACATTGAGAAAAATTCTATTAGAGTTAAAACTACGGCATATTTGGAAATAACGAGTGCAACAACTAGTTATGTACTATGAACGATAGCACAAATAGTAAAAATTAAATTAGAATATAACTTAATTTTATATAATTTTGTTTCTTGGGTACAATGGCAAAAAATTAATTTAAATTAATTGTAAAGATAACCTGAAGAAACACCTGTGGGTAGTATCCAAATTTTAACAATTTTAAGAAATAGTAGCAAAACGAAACAAAGTGGGATTATTTGAGCTTTATGAATACCATAGGCAATGAGATGAAACAAAAATGCAACATTTATTTGCTAAATACCTCTGAAAACGCCAAAAAATGCTAAGTACTGTTATATCACATTTTGATGCTTTTAAAAAATAATCAGGCCTTTGTAAAAGTAAAACTTTTTCGTGAATAACTTACTATACTTTTGAAAAGCTAATAAAGAGATGAATGAGTACTAATAACAGCTTCATAAACAGAAATTATAGTAAAAATTGCGTTCTGCCATCGCAAAAACTTCGGGACTTTTGTACCTGTTCCATATAAGGTAAATCTCCTGCGGCAGTCCTGCGACCAAAAGCACCAAATCGGACACCGCCAAGCTGAACAGATAATAATTGGTGGCGGTGTGCAGACTTTTGTTCCTCGATATCACGACGCACGTGGTTACGTTGCCCACGGTCCCGGTAACGAAAATCACAACGTATATCACAGTGATCGGAATCACCACGTACAATTCGTCCCTCTTCGGTCCGTAAAACTCTTCCTCGCACGTGTATTTGCTTTCGTTCATGCTTTCAACCTCTTCGTCTACGGGCAATGTTCATTTCGGAACGTGCGTTTGCGAGGAGTCGCCCGCCTGCGTGGCACAACGAAGAGATCGCGAAACTGAGGGCCACACCATCGGCGCGATCCAGCAGGAAACTTTTCCTGCGAGAGCGCGCGTTCCTAAAGTTCCTCTGCTATTTATTCCGTTTGCCCGGATGATATTATTAGAATAAATTGGAAATTATACAGGGTGTTACTTGATAATAAACACTTTTGTTCATTAAAGAGCGTTCTTTCATTCTGTTCTGTCATTTTATCTTTCCAAAAAAAAGTCCATCAGGGTGACTTTGGATATTTTGAAGAAATTTGTTCCAGTAAAAGATATCTCTTTATATTTCTTACGAAAGTTCTATTTTTGACGGAATTAAATGTACGAAAACAATGAAGTTTGCATGACAACAGGGTGCCCCATAATACACTGCGCAAAACTTTGAAAGAAATGCTTTAAGAGAAGATCAGATTTTTATTACACCAGCCGCACATCCTCTAGACGAAATAATTATAAGTGAATAATATAATGAATCGTAGCATTCTGATGCTGCTATGAAACGTAACGCCTAATGCGACTACGTCGATCCTGTCATAAGAAGTAGACCTGCCAATCAAAAGTAGTGTCGGGTGCTGGGGTTGGCATCTGACGGGAACTTTCAAAGATCGATACATATTCCAGTATATTCCCCACGGAAAGTTCCCGATATCCTGGAGTTTAAGAATTGGAAAGACATACCGCCCCACAAATTAACGGAGTTCATATGAGGCCACGTTTAATTGGGAACGTGCGGCAAAATGTAAAAATAATAACTAAAGAAGATTTATATTTTATTTGTGTTGAAAAGCGAGTGCAACAGATTCCAAATAATATTTCCGCAAAGGCTTAATGTATGTTATTCAGCTATGCGAAAAATAGCTTACATTTGATTTATTTTGCTCCATTGGATGGCTCAAAATAGCACGAGCCAATATAAATATAACAAACCAGATCAACCTGGAAAATATATCGAATAGTGGGAAAAAAACGGAATCATTTTTAAGCTCAAGCTCGGCTGCAAATTGGAATCGTTTTTCCCTAAGCCAGCGATAAAAGGTGATACCTCAAAATGCAAATAAATCGTTAACAATTTAAACAGCATCTGCGGGAGTCTATAGATATTTTTCAATCCTCCCATAGTTAGTTTAATAGGGATTATTACAATTTTTTTCTATTCCAGATTATTAAAAAAAAAATATCGCTATTATTTCGAACATTTTATTTTTCAAACACCGTTTCTGAAGAGTAGAAGCAATACATAACTTCACCATTCGCTGGTGATATATCAGAATTACAGATTCCTAACAAAAAAGTTTCACCACTGGTCTACAGGTGGCAGCACAGGTCAAACACTTCTAACTAAAGGATTCTAAAACCTGAGGTATATTTTAATAAAAACTGCCTAGTGACTTACCGATAATACCCCTAAGTGGGTTTATGACTCTACACTCTACACGTTGGTTTAATCGCGTCAACAAGATGAAGAAAGCCCATTCCTTCCTCAATTGCGATCATTAACTACTAAACATTCTGCCCGAGCGCCCCTGTCGATTCAAAACTAACCAATAAAAGACCAAGGTGTTCAGCATGTCATTTGCACAAATAATAACGTTGTCGAAACTTGTTTACGATACTGTTCATATCAAATTATCACATCTTTAAAAGTTTTTCATTTATCGCCAAGAATTCACCCACAAAAGCGGAAATTTCTAGAATCTATTTGAATTTTTTGCCCACAAACGACGTACCCTGTAGCACTTATCGTGTTTCATAGCAACGTTCAAAAAACAGTGGAAAATCGCGCTTATGTAACTCGTGGAGGGTTAAGAAGGAGGCCAATTTCAATTTTGCTGCTCCAACGGTTCGAAAGTTATTCAGGAAAAACCAAAAGACGAGAACGGAGAACGGACAAACACACAAAAAAATTTTTTTTCCGACAGTGATCATTCCTGTACGAACGGCGATCCCACGTTTTATAGTTTTTTATCCACGAAAACCGACACACCCTGTACATAATTCCGAAAATGGGGTTTTCCTCGGGCAAGAATTTTTTCAAAATAGTTAACGGTTTTCGAGAAAATAAGTTTTTTTCTGAAACCGTGCAGTGCGCCAATGACGTCATCGCGTCTTGACTGAACCCAAGGAATAGTGATTCTCGAATATCTCGTGAGTGATAGCCGAAAACCGCAAATACGAAAATTGTAGCTCTTGACGCGCCCCAATGACACTGTTTGAACCGATTAGTTTTTTTTTCGACAGTGATCATTTCTGTACCAACGGCGATCCCATTGGACCTACCGTTACCGAGATACAAAAATTTTTATACGCAGATATATTATCGAGCCTATCTAATGAATTAAATTAGTCCAACGTTTAACTGTTGTGAAATGTGAAATATCGACGTTAAAAGCATCCATGGGGTACAAAACGTTTACAATAGACATGTCAGCGAGCTTGCAACTCCACAGAGAACGAATTATACGTCCCTCTTAGCTGATTCGACGTTGTACGTTGTAACGTGATCCGGCCGCGCCAGATGTTTAGAAAATTAAATTCCGGATGTAATTTTGTAAATGTTGCTGATGGTAATGGTAAAATCAATGCCGTCGGATGCACCAATTTCCTTTTTTCAGGTGCGGTTATTATTTGTAATGCATTTATTTTAGGAAAATTTCTGAGAGCCCCATCACTATTTGCAGAGATGGAAAGACAGCATTAAACAAAAATAGCAATTGCGTAATTTACTGCATCCCTTTCTTGGTCCACCCGAGTATTTTTTTTTCAAATTTGTAGGCCCATTCGTTTCCCTAACAGGGTACCGCGTGGTCCTTACCGGGACGGGTATATGGTTAAAAAAAAAAAACGAGAAAATGAACTTTTATTTATTTACTATATTAAGTTTTTAGAATTTTTTTGGCTATTTTGGCAAGTGTATGTCAGTCGTGTTATAAGCTGCAAAAATCACACTAGGCCTCGACCACGAAACTGTTGCTGGTTCCATTGTAGGACCCGATGCCGCCCCACAGCGACTTGTAGTTTCCAAAATGGCCGATCCTGTATACGCCCGGCTGCACGTGGTCCCGGATTTCCCAGCGAATTTCCGCCGTGCTGGTCCCCGTAACACTGCCGGTTCTGGTCCAAATAAATCTAAAAATAAAAAAAATGAGGGAAAATGAAGACGACAAGCTGGTACGTTATTAGTTGGCGAGGACGGAACTTGCGCGTTTTACTGGCAACGCGGGAAATCCGAGTAGCATTCAACGATTTGGTGTAAATTTCGTCTTCGACGCGTCAAAGCGTCACCTGTAGTAGTTGCGCTGTTGACAAATTCTTGCAAACTGTTAGAGCGCGTAGCTTCTCTCCTAATTATAAGGTTGTTCGGAAAGTCGTTTCGTTTTTTCCCGTCAGAGGACTTAATTACGTTTTTTCGAAACCAACTTCACACTTAAGCCGCATAACCATTATATGTCTTGAGAGCTGAAATTGCAAGGCTTGTGTGTGAAAAAGTTCAATTAATTCTACGCAGTAGTTTTTGGTTGGTGCCCTTTTAAATATGGAGAGCAATAAGCAGCATTTTCGTCATATTTTACTTTTTTACTTCAGAAAAGGTAAAAATGCTGTCCAAGCGAGAAAAAAATTGACGGATGTGTATGGAGAAGGCGTGTTAACAGTACGCCAGTGCCAGAACTGGTTTGCAAAATTTCGATCCGGCAATTTTGATGTCGAAGATGCACCACGGTCTGGAAGGCCGGTCGAAGCTGACAAAGATGCGATAAAGGCATTAGTTGATGCAAATCGGCGAATAACCACACGAGAGATCGGTGAGAGATTAAATTTGTCGAATTCGACTGTTTATGGCCATTTGAAAGGCATGGGCTTAACCTCGAAGCTCGATGTGTGGGTGCCCCATGTCCTTACGGAGCGAAATTTGTGTCGTCGCGTTGACGTGTGTGATTCGCTCCTCAAACGTCAAGAAAATGATCCGTTTTTGAAGCGGATTATTACTGGGGACGAAAAATGGGTTGTATACAACAATGTTAAACGCAAGAGGTCATGGAGCGGAAAAGATGAACCGACTCAAAGCGTGTCAAAAGCCAACATTCACCAAAAAAAGGTGATGCTCTCCGTTTGGTGGGATGTCAAAGGAATCGTTTTTTTTTTGAGCTGTTGCCGGACAATTCAACGATTAATTCGGAAGTCTATTGTCATCAACTGGACAAATTGAATGATTCACTTAAAGAGAAGAGGCCCGAATTAATCGACAGGAAGGGTGTAGTGTTCCACCAGGATAACGCGAGACCTCACACAAGTTTGGTCACTCGCCAAAAACTTTTACAGCTTGAATGGGACGTACTGCAACATCCAACATATTCTCCAGATCTGGCGCCTTCCGACTACTATTTGTTCCGGTCCCTGCAAAATTTTTTGGATGGCAAAACCTTTACCTCAAATGAAGATGTCAAAAACCACCTGAACCAGTTTTTTGCCAGCAAGGACCAAAACTTTTATGAGAGGGGAATTATGTTACTGCCAGAAAGATGGCAAAAGGTGTTGGACCAGAATGGCCGATATATAATTTAACAAAATATTTATTCATTATACGAAAACTGTCTTTCATGTTCCCCAAAAAAAACGAAATGACTTTCCGAACAACCCAATAGATGTTATCGCATTCGCCAGGCGCTCGTAAAATAACCTTGGACTTTCGATTAATAACTTTTAAGCGGCTTAAGTCGGAAAAACGGATGCCCGTCTGCAGAAAATGAGTTTTCCGATATATAACAAGATTGCTTTCGAAAAATCGTCGGTGGGCGGGGCAAGTTCGTGGCGCTTTTTGTTGTTCTACAGAGACGAATTGTTTTTTTTATCGGACCACTATGAAACTTGCACCCTGTATAAAGTGTCTTCACATCACGTCGAAATTCAAAGCCACGGCACGCTTTGGTGAAAACGAAAATTTATGCAAATAATACCGATATTTTTTCAAATATCTCGCGCACCCTGTGTGGAAACCTGAAACTCTCAACTTCCAGGGTCTTTCGGATATTTTTACCTATAATCGACGCACCTTGTACGTAATTCCGGAGTGTGTAGCATAAACCGTTCGGAAGTTATCGTCGAGAAACCCGGGAACAGAGAACGGAAAACGGACAGACAAAAAAAAATTTTTTTTCGACGCTGATAATCTCTGTACCGATGGCGGTCTTCTAGGACTTACCGTTACCGAGATCTCGAGTTAAGTGAGGGGCGCGAATACTTTGGAAAAGAATCGATTTCATCGATTTTTCGTACGTATGTACAAATAGCGAACCATTATCCCTCCCGTTATATCGAAAATTGGATTGCTCGGTTTTCGTACAGGCACAAAAAGAGGCGTATAAAAGCCGCGTCCATTTAAATGTAACGGACGAATGGAAATGTCCGCGGTCAGAAACTCCCCAACAAAAACGGGACAGAAGGCAACTCGCAGCTAGCGAGGCGCCACAGAAACGTGCTTGTCCGAATTAGTGCTAGCGGGCCGGACATTACCTGGTTTCCCAGCTCGCGTCATTTGCAATTACTTTCCAACTATTATTGGCGGTTTGCTGTTCTACGGTTAAAAATGTCTTCCCGTGCATCACATCGTTTCTGGGATGCCCCGATACCTGAAAAAGAAGGGAATTATAATACCAAAGCGCCTCGTGTTTACCGGGTGTCTCGTATATGACCCGCAGTCTGACATATTTGTGTCGTCATAGCCTACTTTAAAAATACTACCGATTAATTTTTGACACTAAATATCAAACCCCAAAAAAAAATTTGTTTTATAATAAGTGTTATTTATTTATTTATCAACGGACCAACCGCCCAATGTAAAACAAGCTTTATATATACAAATTAGTAAAAAACAAAATAAAATAAAACAGAATGATGAGCCCGATCTTACATGACAGCTCAAGTTCACGAGAACTTGAGTGCAACAGATTATAAAAAGTGGCGAGATCGCTGTGCACGCGACCAATTGTAAGTTGGAGAGAGATTTCCAATTCCGAGTAATCGACGTCCTCAAGTCCTTGGTGCACGTTAAATGCTATATACCGCAGGAACCTATGCAGCACTCTTTCTATGGCCTGTATGTGGACGTTATACTAAGGTGACCACGCACAGGAACAATAATCCAGCTGTGGACGCATGAGGGAGCAATACTCTGGATGTCCACTGGACAACGCTTAATAAAGCCCAACTTCTGAAGTGATTTAGAAACAATAGATGAAACATGGTGTGTGTCAGGTAATTTAATATCAAGTAACACTCCAAGATCCCTTATTACGGAGGCCTGCTATAACGGTGACCAAAGGGTCATAAGTGTTATAAGTATAATCGAGTTTTATGCAGTCATCAGCATTTTGGACTCTCATATAAAATTTCAGGTCGTCAGCAAATAATAGGAAAAATGCAGGATGAAAACATGAGCCCATAACATTCACATAGACATTGAATAGTAGGGGCCTCAGGCGTGATCCTTGTGGAACACCAGAAGGCACTTTAATTTCGGTGGATTGGGAGCTATAGACGAGCACAATCTGCACTTTTTCAGTAAGGTACGATGTTAAGATTTACTCTCTCAAATGCTTTTGAAATGTCTGTGTAAATGGCATGAACGTGAAACTCCTCTTCGTATGATTCCAGCAGAAAATCCGTAAATGTAAGTATCTTTGGCTCAGTGGAGCGATGGGGGAGAAATCCAAATTGTTGGTCGATAAAGTAACCTTTCAGCCAAGCAAATAAATCGTAGCAGACTAAACTTTCCAACACTTTAGGAATACAACTGGGCCTATAATTGTTTACTTGCGATTCATCGCAGGATTTTAGGATAGGCGTAATGAAGCTTGATTTCCAGTAAGTCGGAAAAGTTCCCGTTTTTAAAGATAATTTAAAGTGGTCTAGAAAGGTTAATAAGATATGTGTGCTATGTGTTACCAAAATTCAGCCACCATTAGCGTAATATGTCGAAAGATAAAAAAAAACTGATTAAGCGGTATGCTAGGACGAGAAGAATTTCCCATTTAACATTAAAATGCTCTACACAAAGTCACAGTTCACAATTTTAAATTGAGCTACGCAATAAACTTTTAATTCAATTAAATTTTATATTTTATAATAATATTTTATATTTTTAAACAGAGAACTGGAGAATGGAGGTCGATATATACTATTTATTTACTTTTCTTATCCTTGTTATTCAGAGTATTCTGAGCTCTTATTTTATAGTTTTTTGATATTGAATTTACCACGAAATTATATATTTTTACATAACAATGGTTTCGACAACACCGTGTCTTTATTATTGTTTGTTTGTTTGATTTGTTTAGTGTTTGGTGAACATTTGATAAAGACACGGTGTTGTCGAAACAATTGTTATGTAAAAATATATAACTTCGTGAAAATCTGAATTTTTTGTGTCTTATTTATTTTGATAAATGGATTTTCATCAAGGAAAAGAAACCTCAGTTCAATAAATATTTGTTGTTTGATGGGTATCGCGATTGTTAATCTGAAAGTGAGATCCCGGTGGCGAGATAAGGTAACGAAACAACACCGGGTTGAGGTCCACGTTTCCTTGTCCCATTCTATGTTGTCATTTCAATAACACTCTGAAATGTGAAATTTAAACCAATAGCAAAGAAAAATTTTTATCGCAACCAACAACGTTAAAGAGGAAAATCAACTCTTGTCGGCGATCATTGGAAATCTCGAGGAACTGGGCGTCACGAAAGTTTGAAACCGAAGGGCTCAAGTGTACTTACGAATATCGCGGATACGACGTCTCCTATTTTAGCCGATTCGGGCGGTTGCTGGAGAACGTCGCCAAAGTTGTGGGTAAACCCGGCGCTGTCGAATATCACCGGTGTAATCAGTGACAGAGTTTGGCCGGTCACGTCCGGTGGCGGGGGCCCCTCCTCTACCTGGGTTCCCTAAACCGAAGAGTTTTGTCACTTATTAACGGCAACGTTGCGGCTAATAACCGCGCTACCTTCATCAGGGCCTCCGCGAGAGTCGAGTACACTTTGATGTAGATGCTGAGCGTGTGAGGTCCGAAAATCGTCGCTGCAGCCTCGTACCGTTGAAGCTGCGACAACAATAATTTGATGCCTTCGACGATAAAGCATTTGTTCGTGCCTATTCGAGTTTTTGTGGCGTGTAGTTTGTTAAATATGATCAATATTAATTCAAGCGGCAAAGTTAGAAACACTCCATATAAAATTAACAGTCAATTGAATATTGCAACAGGCCAAGTATGGTCTGTTCATAGATATTAGACAGTGACCAATTGCTTTTGAATGGGATTATCCAAGGGTGGCCATTAACATACGATGCAACAAGATTATTACAAATTGCAAATGGACTTCTGTCTGCCAAAAATATTAAAGATGCTTCTCCGGATTACCATGAAGACGCCACCGCTGATTTATTTGAAAGTTGGTTTAAAAATAAACTAGTTCCAAACATTCCTCCTAATAGCGTAATTGTAATGGACAACCCCTTCCTCATGTGACACAAAAGCAACAATCCAAAATTACATGTATAATAACGACATTTATTTTCACGAAGATTATACCAAAAAGCAATTAATTGAGGTTCTACAAACCTTGAACCTACAAAAGGATTACGACTGTGATAATTATGCAAAAAATCTAGGGCATACAGTTTTAAGGCTTCCACCTTACCACTGTATATTTAATCCCGTTGAACATGTTTGACACCAACTGAAATCTGCCATTCGTCCTAACAATGTTATTCCCCGTGTTAACCCCAATGTCCTCAAACTTATAGAAACCGAAGTTTTTAATATCCCTCCACAAGGTTGGGCAAATTCTGTAAAACATATAGAAAAAGCAGAACAATCGTATATCCATATTGCAAATAATATAGAACAAATAATAATTAGAACAGGCGATGCTACTGATATATTATGTGAATAATTTTAAGTAATTTAAGTAGGTAATAAAAATAACTTGTAATTTTATTTTAGATTTAAACATTAATACATACATAAATAAATAAATATTTCTAAAATATAAATAAATAAAACTTTCCTAATAAAAACCCCAAATAATTAAATTCTAGGCAAAGTACGGACCTGTTTCGTCATTCGTTCATTCTTACAGCTTGCCCTTGTCTTTCCTTAATTCGTATCAGTTAGTCACTTTCTTATATCTATGAACAGACTTTACCCATAAATCGCGTTGTTCGTAGTTGCAAAGGTAAATTACGAACATATTTGTTAAAATGTGTTAGGCAGATTAAAAGAGTAATCTGATTACATCAAAAACTGTTGATTTCCTTTCATGTTGAATACTCTGATATATCCGTAAATTGCGAACAACACTGAACAAACTATTTGTCAAAAACATAAACCAACAACACACACAAAGTACATTGCATTCATATACCTTGTTCCGGAACGAACTAACTTCCAAAACTGCGTATACAACCTGCTTTAATTTTAAAATGATCCGTATTCAACTTAGGATCTCTAAAGCCGACTACACACGATCCGGCAGGCCTGTCAGTTCGAACTGAACAGTCCGCCTGAAGACCAGTCGCCTGAACGTGTATATTTTCTTTTTACCTAAAGCAACTATGTCGAGAAGTGCTAACGCGTCGTCGTCAGTAGAGTCCCCATGATGATTGAGATTCGATATTTCATATTCGCCTGAACGTGGTCAGTCCATCGCGCGATCGGTCTTCAGGCGAACTGTTCATTTCGAAGTGACAGGCCTGCCGAATTGTGTGTAGCCGGCTTAAGAAACCATGTAAACCGCTTTAGTAACTTGTATAAATTTTAAATGTGCTGATAATTATTTTTCTAGAAAAAAAAAGTTTTATTATAAGTTAAAGTTCACCCAGAGCCCTTTGAATAAAATGTGTGTGAAATGTCAACTACTCTACTCTATGACATTGTTGTCATTTTCCTCACTTTATATATGTCATAGGTCACTTGCTCCAACCCGCTGTTTCGCAGCTTGTCGTGCGTGTTCCTTTGCGATTTTTAGAAGTTGTCGGATTTGCGCAAAACTCTTTTAGCGGTGATTATTTAGAAAACTGAGCGCTTGGTATTCAGAACGATCCTGGTTACAAAGCACTTTCTATGCTGTTGGGTTTAAAATAAACAAAGTACCAATAAATAAATGGTTTACTTTATTATTTTGGAAACTTTATTTACTGTGATGTTCCTGGACCTGGACCGAAAAGTTTTTGATATTAAATGATACAATTCTTGCACTTATTCTGCTGTCTCCACTTATCGTCAAAGTTTTCCGGATAGATTTGAAATCTGGCGCCATTTGATACCTACCGAGAGCGGTTTTTCTACAAGTTTTCTTTCTTCTTAGCAATTATTATTAAGTTTGTTGTAATAGTATTTCGAAACTTCAAAAATCAACGAGCACCGAGTGTTTATTTGGAAACAGTTCAATGGCCCTTCGATTAGCTATGACACTTAATTAAAAGCCCTGTGAGGCGCTTTTAATTTTCACGTGAACGTTTCGAATCAGGCTCCAGGGCCTTTTGTTCGTTTCCGATTGTCGGCTAAAAGGCTGGTGTATTTTTTTGTTTTTCGATTTTAATTATGCCGAAACCGCGAAACCGTATGGAGTGTTTTACGGCTTACATGTAATGAAACCGGTAGTATTTATATGTTAAGCTGACGTCGAAGTACTGAAGCGTTCACGGATCCCAACTAATGAATTGAAAATTCCCAAAACGTTCGAGAAAAAAAATACAGAAGTGGTCAAAAGAACACCCTGAAAAACCTGATTTTTTTTCCAAGATGTTTGCAAAGGTGCGTAATCGTCATCTTAAAATATTTAAAGTTTTACTTAACGCTGTATATTAAAATTGAGTGTTAATAGGCGATTATTTTTTTTTTGTTGATTCGAACTGGCTAACGTTTCGCCAATCATCCTGTTGGCTTCTTCAGAGCTGGAATGAAACTGGCTCTGTACCTGCTTATATATTGTTTGAGGGGGCAGAGCTAATATTAGTGACAAGTAGAGACCTGAGTCGCGGTTAAGATTGTTCTTTTGTTTATAGATTTCTATAGACTCTATAGCTTTATGTTGATGAGTTTGTTTGTCTTAGTCTTAAGACTCTTTCATGTTCTTTGAGCTTAGTTCATATTTGCATCCGGCCTCTCCAATGTAGTCTTTGCCGCATATCAAATAGAATTTTGTCTTTGACGGATCGAAGATGTTAAGAGATTTTTGGTTGAAGGAGGAATCCAGAAGTTTTGTAAAAAGTACTACGACTGGTACTTCGTGTCGTTTCTAAAACCGAGGCTTTTATCACCTGGTACTCTTCGAAGGTCGCTATGTAGCTGGTGTAGGTGTTGCTGAGGCCGGCGAGAACGACTTCGGTACTATCCGGTGCTCCGTTGTCGACCAGCACCTCCTTGACGGCTTTCCTCAGCCGTCTACCCGACATCGTCGTGAACTCTCCCGGTACCGCCACCAGGGCGAAGTCACCCACTCTGATTATCTGGGTGGCTACTACGTGCGGTTGCCACTCGTAGGGAAAACTCATCTGAAACCAAGACCGCGTCTTTCGGGGATGCGGAATTCGCAGGTGTGGAAAATTACCCTGCCGGTGCCCATGAGTATCGGTTTAGGGTAGTGACAATCGATGTCTTCCGTGGTCGGCGGGAAGATAAAGTCCCTGACGAGATTCCAGAACGGGTTGTCCGATGTGGTTCCCTGTTTAAAATCGAACTCTCCTGGGCCGTCGATGGTGCCGGCGGCGAAACTGTAACCCATCGCCGGATAACATCCTTTGACCTAGTATCAACGATAGCTTTTGGTAAGTTTTGGATAGTCCCGGCCAAGGTCCTGGTAACTTCCAAAGATCGTCTTGTTCATAAGTTTAAACAAGTGCTACAGCCAAACATATCTAACTAAAACTGAGTGGGTGTGAGTGTGATTGCAACCAATTGGTTCATAGAAAGAAAGTAATACTGCTATCACTATAATTTTTGTGGCTGTGATTCTTTTCGAAAACAGTTACCAGGAATAAAATCAAATCAAATCAATACTGATTAATTTCGCAGCAGTTTTCAGATAAAAAACAAACTAATGGGCACAGCGGTCGCCAGCTCACCTCGATCGAACTTCCATTAGTCGGATCCTGAACGGTGACGGATTCATCTCGCATCGAGACGAACTGATGGATAAATCCCACCGGGCCAGTAAGCTCGTGGGATGATTCGTTCGCCAAAAGTACCTTTAAACGGAGGCTTGGTTGAATTATTTGCTTGCTGATGAGCTCAAATCGAAAACAAAATCTAGTGGAACAATTCAACGTGAACTTTGCTTCCGAAACTGAAAACTTAGGGTTAGAATGTACCCTATTCCCCCGGTATAAAAATGTAAAGAATTTCCTGGGGTTAAAATTGGACAACCCTGATGGAGAAAGCGATTTAGCAACGTTTCTGTGACGGCACTGGAAACGTTCCTATTAAAACCTAAGTCTCGTGCGACCACAGCGGCCACGCTTCCGGGGGAAGGGTATCAACCTCCGAAAAATATGTCCACTGAAGCTTTCGAAGACTGTTTCTCAAACATTTCGTGCTTCTTATCTTTATTACGTAAACAGCAGATACGAGGGCAACAGTTACAGGTGCGCTCGTGACACACAAATACTTCAAACAAAAACTTCACACTAAATCCGAACAGTAAGCTCTAATATACTTTGAAACAGCTAAATATTGAGCTGCTCAAAATCTGATATAAGCACAAAATTTGACTGAAGTTAAAAAAAAATGCTCTTTTTGATGCACTGGTTCTCGGTCATCTAAATTCCTGTAATTTTGTCTACGCAATAGCTGCATTCGATTCATTTACAACCTCAAACGAAGAATTATATTTTGCTTGTGATTTTCATGAACAACTTAAAATAGAACGTCATTCATATGTATTGAAAAAAAATAGGAAATAGGTTTGGTTAATCAAAATCCTTAGACTTAAGTTCACAAAATTATTTTGGGCTTTTAAAATTCATTTCAAAAAATGTATTTTAGGAAAAATTCAAAAAGTTGTGATACTATTCTTGCGTTTGTTGGGTTTTATATTCTATCTGTATACTTATATATTTTGGTACTCCCCTTATCTTTATTAAATTAAGCTTTAATGGTCCTTATCCACAGGAAAAAGAAAAATTTGGCCATATTGCCTCCTGCCGAATAATGTGTATGGTCCGTTCATAGATATAAGAAAGTGACCAATTGCTTTTGAATGGGATTATCCAAGGGTGGTCCTTAACAATGCAACAAGATTATTACCTAAAGTTTCCGAATTTAAATTCAGGTAAAATTGTGGTCCGTAATTGAAAGTAATTTTATACCTACCTGTGTTTAATATTCTTTGGTTTGTGTTGATAAAACAACCCAATGCCCTCGCGAACCCCGAAACGCGGATATTGCGTTAGACGTGGCAACGTCTATCGCCTCCCTTGATCACGCTGCATAGACGTGACTGACCGCCTCGAGGGCGCCTGTCTTCCAGACATGCGTTGCGGGAAATAGTTAGTCGACTGCGACCGCCCTTGATAATAGTTACGTGAGAATCGCGCTATCGTTAAACCCCCCTTTAAGCCCCTTTCACTCTTAATATATTCCCTTATAAGTCGGTGTCCTCTTTGGACTAGCCCCTCAAACGGTTTCTTTCGAGGAAGTTTAATCTCTATTTTAACGCAAATTGTGTGTTTGTGGTTAACTCGAATAAACCGATTTGTTAAATGCCTTATCTTGTACCGTCGTCGCGTTGTGACAGAATATAGTTGTTAAACGGCTATCATTTAAAATAAACCAGCCCCGCAATAATACAGTCCACACCCCCAACAAATCAACCCGTTAGATGGTGGTGACGCAAGGATACGTTTCTCCCCCAGTTTGGTATACTACAAATGTAGAAAACACTATTCTATTGAGACTAAGGAAGTTATAAATAATGTTTATTTGACTCTCATTGAACGTGGTGCCGGCACGTTCAATGAGAGTCAGAGAGAGAAGAAACGGCCACATTGACGAAAATTCCAACATCAACTGTATGGAAAATTGTGAATAATCCAATTTCAGCGAGGAAAAAAAGAAGCGATGCTGACATTTTCTCGAGTGTAGATGAAAATGATCAAGATATAAACTAACTTATGGAAGTATATTCAACACATGGGTTTTAGATGTTAAAAAATTGACAAAAGGCAAGTTTTAATGGACTCTTTTAGAGTTCGGTAATGGCGACTGGAATATCTAGAAAAAATTAGGAGAACAACAAAGGCCAATTATTTACTTGGACGAAACCTGGTTCGACACTTATGATACCCCGGAAAAGGGTTGGGTTGACTCAACTGGTAAGTGTAAAACAAACGCGCCATCAAAAAGAGGTAAAAGAATAACCATTTTGCATGCTGGCTCTGAAGATGGTTGGATTCCAAATGGACTTTCTTTGCCTGCGAAAAATATTAAAGATTCTTCCCTGGATTACCATGAAGACACCACCGCTGATTTATTTGAAAGCTGGTTTAAAAACAAACTAGTTCCAAACATTCTTCCTAATAGCGTCATTGTAATGGACAGTAGACAGTTGACTAAAACCCCTTCCTCATGTGACACAAAAGCAAGAATCCAAAACTACATGTATAATAACCACATTCCACGAAGATTATACCAAAAAGCAATTAATTGAGGTTCTACAAAGTTTGAACCTACAAAAGGAATGTCTGTGATAATTATGCAAAAAATCTACGGCATACAGTTTTAAGGCTTCCACTGAACATGATTGGCACCAACTGAAATCTGCCATTCGTCGTAACAATGTTTTTCCCCGTGTTAACTCCAATGTCCTCAAACTTATAGAAACCGAAGTTTTTAACATCCCTCCACAAAGTTGAGCAAGTTCTGTTAAACATATAGAAAAAGCAGAACAATCGTATATCCATATTGCAAATAATATATTGGGTTGTTCGGAAAGTCATTTCGTTTTTTTTGGGGAACATGAAAGACAGTTTTCGTATAATGAATAAATATTTTATTAAATTATATATTGGCCATTCTGGTCCAACACCTTTTGCCATCTTTCCGGCAGTAACATAATTCCCCTCTCATAAAAGTTTTGGTCCTTGCTGGCAAAAAACTGGTTCAGGTGGTTTTTGACATCTTCATTTGAGGTAAAGGTTTTGCCATCCAAAAAATTTTGCAGGGACCGGAACAAATAGTAGTCGGAAGGCGCCAGATCTGGAGAATATGGTGGATGTTGCAGTACGTCCCATTCAAGCTGTAAAAGTTTTTGGCGAGTGACCAAACTTGTGTGAGGTCTCGCGTTATCCTGGTGGAACACTACACCCTTCCTGTTGATTAATTCGGGCCTCTTCTCTTTAAGTGAATCATTCAATTTGTAAAGTTGATGACAATAGACTTCTGAATTAATCGTTGTATTGTCCCGCAAAAGCTCAAAAAAAACGATTCCTTTGACATCCCACCAAACGGAGAGCATCACCTTTTTTTGGTGAATGTTGGCTTTTGACACGCTTTGAGCCGGTTCATCTTTTCTGCTCCATGACCTCTTGCGTTTAACATTGTTGTATACAACCCATTTTTCGTCCCCAGTAATAATCCGCTTCAAAAATGGATCATTTTCTTGACGTTTGAGGAGCGAATCACACACGTCAACGCGACGACACAAATTTCGCTCCGTAAGGACATGGGGCACCCACACATCGAGCTTCGAGGTTAAGCCCATGCCTTTCAAATGGCCATAAACAGTCGAATTCGACACCGATCTCTCGTGTGGTTATTCGCCGATTTGCATCCACTAATGCCTTTATCGCATCTTTGTCAGCTTCGACCGGCCTTCCAGACCGTGGTGCATCTTCGACATCAAAATTGCCGGATCGAAATTTTGCAAACCAGTTTTGGCACTGGCGTACTGTTAACACGCCTTCTCCATACACATCCGTCAATTTTTTTCTCGCTTGGACAGCATTTTTACCTTTTCTGAAGTAAAAAAGTAAAATATGACGAAAATGCTGCTTATTGCTCTCCACATTTAAAAGGGCACCAACCAAAAACTACTGCGTAGAATTAATAGAACTTTTTCACACACAAGCCTTGCAATATCAGCTCTCAATGGTTATGCGGCTTAAGTGTGAAGTTGGTTTCGAAAAAACGTAATTAAGTCCTCTGACGGGAAAAAACGAAATGACTTTCCGAACAACCTTATAGAAGAAATAATCAGAACATACTGATATATTATGCGAATAAGTTTAAGTAATTTAAGTAGGTAATAAAAATAATTCGTAATTTTATTTAAGATTTAAACATGCATAAATAAATAAATATTGTTTAGTATCTTTCCTAACAAAACCCCAAATAATTAATTCTAAGCAAAGTACGGACCTGTTCGGCCATATTCCATTGTTACAGCTTGTCCGGGTGTTTCCTTCATTCGTATCAGTTAGTCACTTTCTTATATCTATGAACAGACTTTACAACCATATATATTTCACTCCCAGAACATTAAACCTCAGTTCGATGTTACCTTCGCTTTGTCGAACAACTTGGTCGCTATAATCTCGGCGCTTTCGTACATATCCTTGCCCGGGCCGAACGCTATGCAATATTTGTTTTCGCCACCGCAGCTGCTCGACTCCTTATCGCAAGGTTCGCCCGTGTTGATGCATCTCGGACCGTTGGTGTTCGGCGACACGTCCCCCAAGTTCGTCGAAGCGAAAGCGCCGACGAAACTGCTCTGAAATTTAATCGGTGTAACAATCCTACTTCAACCAAATCCCAAATTTCCGGCACCACTCACTTCTCCGGGTAAAGACTTCGGGTCCATGTCGTTCTCTAGAAGAATGGACGCGTATCCGACGTTGTCTGACGAGACCAAACAATTCGTGTTGTTGAGCGATACCGGATGTACGGCGTACCAGTTTATAGCCGCGATAGAGACGCCGTCGGAGGCTCTATCTATCCTTAACTGCACCAGCGTCTTGTCCGTGTCGTGTTCGTACCTGCATAGGGGTCAATTTCGCAGCCTATACGACATTTGACGCAACTTGGTTGCTGTTAAAATTTGTGTAGGTTGAAGGTGAAAGCTCTCTCTAAAACCGTCCTGGATGTACCACCGACGAAAAATACAATCAATGATTTTTGCAACATTTTCCCTTATCTTTTTTGGTTCTTTTTACGTAAATAACAATATACGAAAAGAAAGAAACTGCAATAAACGAAGAGGGAAGAGCAACAGTCAAACATCTGACACATTCAACAATTGATCTTTAAGATACTGAAATAAAATTTAGTGAATGCTGACAAAATTTAAGTTCAAAATAATTTACAATGTATTTACTTAATGGCGGTAACACTGGCATGCAGTGGTTTCGTCGTCCTGGATACGAGACTAATTTTAGATATATTTATGCTCACAATTCATAAAACTATCAATGATTTTGTAAGAATTGCTCTCAATTTTGTTAAAATCTTTATTTTCATTTTAATTTTTAAAAATCGGAAAACAAGAAATAAAATGACATAAATGTTGAAAATATTTGTTTTATTTTGAAAGATGAACAAACATTGATGTTAAAAACATACTATATTTCCATAAAACGGCATTTATTAGCTTTTCTTTTATAACTCTTTTTTGGACAACCTCTTTTCAAAGACCAGCAGTAATCTACCATTATGTGACAATCCCAGCCACCCTGATACCGTTCTTCCATCACTTTTAGATCATGGTTGAACCGCTTTCCCTGTTCTTCCCTATAATTCCCTAAATTATCCGGGAATTTATCTAGATGATTGCTCCTATGGTCGGATGATTTCTTCATAATTTGGTGCTTTATGAAATTTTCGACTACCAATACAAAACTCTCCCAAGCTTTACTTTCCGGAACAGTCATAACTCCGACTCTTTCATCATTTGCCGTATTTGAGGACCATCAAATATTCCACCTTTCAACTTTTCCACACTAAGCTTAGGAAATTTTCCACGAATGTAATTAAAACAGTTTCCGTCCTTGTCTAATGCTTTTACAAATTGGCCAAACATCTTGATTCCAATGATGTTGCTTTGCTCCACTGTCCCACATACAAATAAAACAAAATCTACACAAAATGTTCCGAGTATTTATTTTTTTCCAAAACTAATTTTACATTTTCATACTCCTCTTTGAGTTTTGTTGTTTGTTTTGTTTTGTGAAACTTCTTTTAGAACTGTCAATGAAAACTCGTAGGTTTGTATGCTGTTAAACCCATGTCTAAAAGCAGCTTCTCGATATCCTTACAGTACACCATCATCTTCACTAAAAAATTGCAATAACTCTTTTTCTCGTGTCCTGTATGTCGTACTTGTCGCTGTTGGGACCAATAAATTTTTTTCTTTCAATCTTGAAGCTAATAATTCTGATCCTTGTTTTGGTAAGTATTAAGTATTATTATAAGTATTACGTCACCTTCCCATTGACTTCCACTTGCAGACTGTTCCGATTTCTGTGAATTTGGTAACATCGTTGTTTCTGAGGGCATTCGAATTGCTTTGAAACGTAAATAGGTCGAGGAAGATTTTCACTGTGTAGTATAGGACATTTTTTAGCAAAATTAGCAATCACCGAAATGATTTGTAGGCTCCATCCAGATCATCGGAATACCAAAGTCTAATCCAGAACGTTTTCCTTTTTTCCATAACCGTAAAGACTCAACGCATTTGTTTGTCCATTTTAACACCGAAATATTCAGTGTAAGCCTCCTGAACAAAGTCTGTAATGTTTCGTTATTGTTTTTTTGTTAAATAAACACCGCATATTTACACTTTCTTCTTGGCGAACTCATATTTTAAAAGAGAAAACAAATATAATTTAAATATACATTCAGTAATTGAAACGAAACATTAATTCATAAGAACTTATTTAGATTCACGTGTTGGTACTTCGCATTGTCGAATAACCGAGGTCTCAGCTGTTCCGCGGAGCAAGGGGTGGGGATCGCTAGGAGTAGGGATCACGTGATGTTTGTATGCGCGGAAAAGTTGTGCAGAAGCCTAATCGTGACTGATAAAATCGATTTTTATGAATAAAAAGCTGATTATTGTTCAAATTATAAGATTTATGAAAATCATAAAAATAAGAGCACATGTTCGTCATCTGGACACTTCAAAATATAAAAAATAAAAATTTTCGCAGATATGGGTACGGGCAACAAAAAAAATCTTTATTTGGACAGCTGTGTAAATAATCTCGGCCATAAAAAAGTTATTATTAAATAATTTGCTAATTCGATCATCATTGATTGCTAGCTTCTTCACGGAAAATGATTTTAAAGAGATAATAAAAAACAGTTTGGAAGCAAAATAAATTAATTCGTTTTACTTAAAGCTCTCTGAACGATGGTAAGTCATATAGAGGCACTAGAGAAACCAGAGTAGAGGGGGTCAAATATTCTGACTTACTGGTTCCTTTCGTCTTCGGGGTTCGCTAGGTACGACGTAGGACTCCTATTTATATTCGCGTCGAGGACTTCGCCCTTGTTGACGTAAATACGAGCCTCTACGACGTTTTCGTGGGCCCTTTTCACAGACTGAAATCAGTTTTCAATTACAGAAGTTTTGATTAGTTTAGAAGTTTAAGCGCAAGAGTGCAAAATTACGAATTACGAAACTTATTAGAACCTTGCTCCTAGAGGACGCTAGTTTCACCCCACACAGACCACCAAAATTCTGAAAGAACGTTCAATTTTTTACTAAAAAGATACTCTTGCTTAGGTCGTCAAGCTATGTGGGTTTTTGACGTATTTGCATTCGAAAAGTTCCGATTCCGATAAAAAAAACAATTTTGGTACTAGCAAATCAAATATTTGCAATTGTCCACAATCTACCTCAACACATTTTACAATACACTCTCCTAAATGTCTTGGAATACTATACAAATTATTGGAAAGGTTTTCGCCGCTCAAAAAATGAACTGCGTATACCAAACTCTTCGAGTTAGACCATAAAGAAAAGTCCAGAGGGTTTAAGTCAGGACTACTTGGTGAACAAACGAATTCATTTCCACTGCCGACCCGCCGATCAGGAACTCACTCAAGTAACAATGAAGTTACACCACATCAAATGCTTACCAGGACAATTCCAACATTTGATTTAAAGTGGTTCTTAGTACTATGTCGAAAAAGCAAATTAGGATGGTCTTTGAAAGAAAATCTGGATCCGTTCCAAGCTGTTGATTCAAAGCACGACATGTTTCAACTCGATGTTCATTTTGCACGTCAGTCAGAACACGAGAAACAAACTATTGTTCAATTGTCTGTCGACGGTCTGTGAGCACAAACTCTCGAATATTTTCAATATTTTCGTCGATTCGGGCAGTTGATGGACCTCCAGAACGAGGTCGATCATCAGTTGACTCGTCGCAATTTTTGAAGCGAACAAACCACTGGTACACTTGAGTTTTTCCCATCGCATCGTCTTTATAAGCTGTTTTTAACATTGAAACAGTTTCAGCGGCACTTTTACCGAGCAGAAAACAAAATTTCACAGCTGCACGTTGTTCTTTTAAACTTGCCATCGAAAAAAACGAAATAACGAAAAACCAGCGTTAACAAAAATGGCACTGCGAGTGAACAAAACAAGTTAAATTTAAAACGAAGGGGGCGTTGAACTCGCAATAAGTTGTACGATCCACAACCTAGCGGCAGAAAGGTGTACTATACAAGCTCTGCGCGCGGCAATTCAATTCCGGTTTTTTATGGGTACCCTCTCGTATAATAAGAAATACGGACGCCCAGATCTGCGTAGGGAGGACCAATGTGTCTGATCAGTTTCGTTACCTCTACGATCCCGTCCACATACGCGTCCACAGTGTCCTTGCAGGTACCGAAAATGGATATGTCGTATAGGACGTCCATCAGGAAGCCGCCGGGGCCGTTGTGAGTATGGGTACCGCTGAGGATGAAATTCTGCTGCGTGTAAGTGTCACCATACAACGTTCGCAGCTGTTCGAGTACCTAAAACCCGTGGCATAAGATTAAGCACGTTCCCGATCCGATCGAAAAAGTAGTACCAAATTTTTCACGCCGATCCCGATCATGCCGGTGTCGATGGTGACGTACAGTACTCGGGTGGTACCGTCATCGAAGATGTACGCCCGCGAGTACTGCCTCGTAATGATCCCGCATCCCTTTTGGGTGGATTTGGCGTAACCCATCTGCGAAGGAACCAATTGTATTTTATTTAGACGGCACGGAGCGCAAACTATTTAACGTAATAGGAAAGCCACTTTCGGTTTCTTGTTACAAAAGTGGCGCAGTGATATCATTACAGATCAGAATTATAAAATGTTTTACTAGAAGGGTAAACTCAAAACAAATGCGGACGCGTTATCTCGTATTGAAATATATACTAACGACGATTTTAATAAAAGCCTTGAAAATAATCAAGAAATTGATGAAAATAATGTTGAAACGTTTTGTACAGAAATGAATAAAAATGAATTAGACCTAGACAACGCTACCAATGTTCCAGACGATGACAATATTACTATACACAGATCAAATGATAACTAAGCCCGTGTTACACCTAAAACAATAATATTATTCGGAAAGAAAAAAACGCGTTACAATTCAAATATCGAGATGTTATCACAAGGTGGGTTTCATAAACCAAAATTACAAGACACTGGAGAAGGAACAGCGTACAATTCCCGGATGAAGGCCAAAAATACAAAATTGGTATCGACTTTTTGAAATGAGTGTCCAAATTCATTCCTTCACTCTGTATGGAATGTTAAAAAAAAGTCGTCGATAAGTCATCAAACGCTCTGGCTTGTGGGATATTTAGTTCACTACTATACCGATAGTTGAACTAATTTCTTGCTGTGAATCAACCGTGATGCCGGAATTAGAAATTTGCCTGTGGTAGCCCACGCAAGACCATCTCAATTGCGCCTAAAGTGGTTGTTAGGTTTCAAGAATGGTATATGTATTTTGACCGAACAACCAATACAAAAATTTCATATGTTGCACATACACACCAATGTGATCTCAGCCGACGGTCCAGTCATATCGGCCCTGCCGACTCCTACGTTGTAAACCCCGCGGGCTGTCCCGGAAAACGCCGAAAGGCACAGAAGAAGAGCGGCCCAAACCGTCCGACCTTTTTGAGGAGCCATTTCGCATCAGCCTGAAACTAAAATCGACGTTACTTTATCGGATCGTTCTTCGTGACTTCCAATTGCGACTTGCGACTTGCGTTTGACGTGGCCGGAAATTTAAATACCTTGTTCAGATATTTAAAAGATTTTCAATATCTACGCTTTACTAGAAATAGCTTGATACAATCACGCGGTTGTCGCAAAGTATCGAACACTGTGAAAATGTAAACATTTTTTTTTCTAATTTAATTTGAACGTATTTGAATGTTATATATTTTCTAACAGGTTTTCTATAGCCACTTTTGTAATTTTTAAACTATTTTAGAAAATTATAAACTTTTTCAAAATTTTATTCAGGCATTTGTCAGAAAAGGTACTCTGGATTTCTCAAAAAAAACTTCATGACATGGCGTAAGGTTGAAGTTTTATCAGAAATCATCTGACTTTGATATAGACATCGAGTTTGAAACAATTAGAATTAAAACCTGGTTCTAGGTAGGATAACCCATTCCTCGCCTGTCAAACCGCACAACAACGTGGACACTCTGTGGTATGTGGTACATTTTCTTTCTACGGTCAAAAATCGCGTAACACTGATCATCACCGGCCCGCGACACCAATTGAAAGTGAAAGCCCACCGTTGCGTATCCGCATAATAAACAATAATGAACGGTTAATTATTGCCGTTAAATTGTATGTGAACGAAAGACCACGCCGATTCCCCCCTAGCAAATAAACGCGATCTCTGCTATGATGCGCTTAAATTACAATTGAGCACGAGGCAATTTTTGGCCGTCGCGATAGTCATTAATAATAATTATTATAATAAATAGCCTTCATTATAACAAGAAAAACAATATACAATAATGATATTTTTCAAAACAAAGTAAACAGATAGCTCAAAAGCGGCGCAGTATCTATTCATTTATCGTATGGCTCTACAAGTGCTATATAATAGGTTACAAACAAAATTCTTATGAAAGGTCGGTATAAATGACAATTAATACAAGTAATGTAAAACACAGTAATACACATTAAATATGACACATACAGTACATATAACAGGTGCATGCGAGCAACCTAGCGGTATGGGAAAATCAAATCTACAGGTCCAAATCCAGTTCGGATAACCATGCAATGGCAGCGGGGCTTGCATCAGTAAAGTCTTTCCATTGTCCAGTAAATCTTCTCAGTGGGCGGTCTTGGACTATATGTGTTAATGTTTGCTCTTCAGCTCCACAGTCACATGCCGGATTGTCGGCAATTCCCCATTTGTGCATCGCTGATCTCGTTTTTGCATGTCCAGTTCTAACTCTATTTAATAGGGACCATGTTTTACGAGGTAGTTGCATCCCTGGGAGCTGTTTATTAGGATCTTCTATGTGAGAGATCTATCGAGGACTACGCCTAGATATTTGGGGTGTTTGTTGTGTTTGACTGGTTCTCCACAAAACGTGACATTTAGTTCTCTGTGCGCCATCCTGTTATTTAAGTGGAAGGCACATGTCTCTGTTTTATTTGGGTTCGGGCGCAGTCTCCATTTTTGGAAGTATTGGTTTAAGGTTTCTAAGTCGGCTGTTATGGTTGTTTTTCCTTCTTCAAGGTGTTTATTTTGAGTGGCTATAGCCATGTCGTCTGCGTAACAAAACTTACGTGACGTAGTATTTGGGGTGTCACTTATGTAAACATTAAAAAGTAGTGGAGCCAGTACTGAGCCTTGAGGGAGACCGTTTTTAATGTTTCTTGATTTGCTACTTGATGTGCCTAAAGTGACCTTGAAATAGCGACCTTTCAGCATTCTTTCCAGTAATCTGGTTAGTTTCATGCAAGGGATCATTTTCATGAGTTTCAGGATCAGCCCATCTATCCACACTGTGTCGTATGCTGCGCTGAGATCGACAAAGGCCACTGATATTTTTAGGCCTTTCTGAAACCCTGCTTCTATGTAAGAGGTGAGGGCCAGTACTTGTTCGCAGCAACTACGGTTTGGTCTGAATCCTGCTTGCTCATGCGGTAGATGTTCATTTATGATAGGGCATATTCTGTTGTAGATCATCCGTTCCAATAGTTTATAACAGATGCACAGCAAGGCTATAGGGCGGTAGTTTGCTGGGTTTTCAGGACTTTTTCCCGGTTTGAGGATAGCGAGAGTGTGAGACATTTTAAATTCATTTGGGAGCCGTGCTGTATTCAGTATGTCGTTAAAGAAGTCTTTAATCCATGTTCTTGCTTTTGGGCCTAGGTGTTTAATAATTTCAGGGAAAATGTTGTCGACGCCAGCTGCTTTCCTTAATTTAAGGCTTTTTATAGCAGTGTTCACCTCGTCGTTAGTAAAAGGGGTTGAAAACTGTGCGTCTTCTTGTAATGTATTCCTCTTCTGATCTAGTTCGTTTTGTACTGATGTCATGTCCTCTTTGCTTATGGTTACGCACTCGGCTCTTTCTTTGATGTGTATCGCAATCTCATTTGGCGATACTGCTGGTTTGGGGATTGGTATGTGGGTTGCAGCCCCCAGTCGTCCCAGTCGACTTGAGTGGGTAAAATTCAGATTTTCTGTAGTTTCTTCCCATCTTTTCCTTCTTTGTTGATTTAGAGATTCCAGCAGAGCGGCGCAGTCTATCTCTTTAAATAGCTACTCTACTGAACCGTCAAAGAACTATTTATAAGGGGTGTTTTTTTTGGCGTATAGAACCTTAAGTTGCAATAAAACCACGATGGATTATTCGATTGACACGAATTTTATTTATCCGAAAGATAATCTTGCGGCATTACATTTTAAATATGATTTCTGGCATATGACCGCCACGGCTGGCGCGGATGTAGCCCAATCTGGACGTCCAATTTTCTATGACCTTTTCCGACATTTGTGGCCGTATATCGGCAATAACACGGCGAATGTTGTCTTCCAAATGGTCAAGCGCAGCCCCGCAGAAAGTAGTCTAGCAGTGTTAAATCACAAGATCTTGGTGGCCAATTCACAGGTCCAAAACATGAAATTAGGCGGTCACCAAACGTGTCTTTCAATAAATAGATTGTGGCACGAGCTGTGTGACATGTCTTGTTGAAACCACATCATGGTTATTCAATTCAGGAATGAAAGAGTTAGTAATCATAGCTCTATACCGATCACCATTGACTGTAACGTTCTGGCCATCATCGTTTTTGAAGAAGTACGGACCAATGATTCCACCAGCCGATAAAGCGCACCAAACAATCAATTTTTCTGAATGTAACGGTGTTTCGACATACCCTTGAGGATTAGCTTCGCTCCAAATGCGGTAGTTTTGTTTGTTGACGTAGCCATTCAACCAGAAGTGCGCTTCATCGCTAAACAAAATTCGCTTATGAAATTCGGGAACAACGGCAATCTCGTTTTGGGCCCATTTGGGCACTATTTGCAAGTGCTGTTCATGATGAATTGCCAAACCAAACTGAGAATAAATCACTTGACAGCTGTTAAATCGGTCGCCATCTTGAACAGTAATGCCAACTTAAAGTTCTATACATCGAAAAAAACACCCATTATAATTAATAAATTGAAATAAAAAATGGATGGACAACAAATAAAATATGAAAAATACCTGCAAAATCTACTACAACTACACACTACAGAAAATGCAATTGAAGATAAAGAATTTGATAACTCAACATAATCCCATGCTAACTGTATTTGTGACAAATGAATACCTCTGACAAAGAATTATAAACACGAATTGCGTTGAATGTGGGTGAACCGAGGTTATGGATAATTTTCATATCGAATTTGTTGAAATGAAGAGTTCTTCTTTGTTCCATTTTAAGCCAATTAAGTTGACGATATGCAGCAGATACATGGTCATATTTCCGAAGACCCATAATAGAACGAACACAAGCATTTTGCAACCTCTGAATACGGCACTTACACCCGTTATCAATAAAAAAAAACCATGCACTACATCACAGTAGTTAAAATGTGAGAGAACAAGTGAGTCACATAATTCTTTCCTTAGTTTAAAATTTAAAATATGATTTTTAGTGAGAAAAAAGCCTTTCAAAGATATTTTTTAAATATTTCCGAAATCTTAGATCACAATCTATGATCTCCCCCAAATTTTTTGCTGAATCGACAACGGAAAGTTTAATATTATCTAACATTATATTAATATTTTGTTTAAGTAGCTGTATTTTTATTTCCAAAAATCATTAAATGCGATTTTGATGGGTTTAGCTTTAAATTATGGGCACGAGAAAGTTCACTAATCCCGTAGAGATCTTGATTTATAAATACCTCTGCATCCGTGCTACTATTAAAATCTTTTTGCAAAAATTAAAAAAATTGAAAATGTCAGAAGTGTAAATCGAAAAAAATAACGGCCCTAAAATGGAACCTTGCGGCACCCCAGAGAAAATTTCGATTTCTTTCGAATATCTGCGATCACAGTATATTTTCTGATATGGATTTGAAAAATTCGATTTAACCAGCTAGCGTGAATTAGAAGAAAAACCATAGAAATTCAGCTTGAAAATCAATAGAAAAATCCAAAAGTATTAATTTTAAACGTGCATATTTTTTTTAATTTCTGAAAAAGCGATCTTTATATTTGGTAAAATGTTCAAAAAGAGGCCTAAGTTCGCGTTTTCGTTATTGCCGTTGTCTATTGTTTTATACAGGGTGTCCAAAATTGGGACGCATACATTGACATTTTCAAAGTCATTTTTAGAAACAATAGCTAATACGTCCAGAAAGTAGCTAGCGGAGTGCCAAGACAGTAATCGACATTTTTTTTAATGGAATTTTACGAAATTGGTGTTTATTATGGATCCATGAAAGTGGTTAATACTATTTACAAAACTTCTGGATTCTTCCCGCGTATGGGTCGAAGGTTATGATCAAATTTCGTAATTTTCTCAAAATGAAAATGTCAGTAGACACCGACAATTATATATCTATGCATTATTTTCGCTGTGCTGTCAACGCGTTTGCTGTCAGCTGTGGCTAGAATGGCAGCTAGTCGCCACAGAACTGTACCAAACTTAAAAGAAAATAAGTCACTCT